ACAATCAAAGTCATCAACGAATGTTGAATTTCCCAAGTTTTCCTGATGATCTGCAAAAGCAACACAAAAAGCAATCCCTAGCCAGCTGGTGCATGATTCTGGAGGTAGCTCCACATTTAGTGAATGTCCCTCACTTTGAACATTGAACCACTCTGGAATTTCACTTCCCGGGAATACAATATACTTATCGTACAAATCTGGATACATTCCCTGCATCAAAAGAACCATTACATATTATGCAAGGGGTTTGTAGGTCAAGTGGTATAAGAATATTTCCCTTGCACCCGAGATTCTAGGTTCAATTCCCCACCTCTCCCAATATAGTTTCTGCCATTATTATATTCAGAGAGAGAGAGAGTGTGTGTGTGTGTACCTTAGTGGCCAATTTCATTATTGTTGAAATTATTCTAGCACTCCAGCCTTCATCTTCAACCAATCTAAAGCAATTAACAGCACTGAAAGTAAAATCATACAAATTGGCGAATCTGCTGCTCAACTTTGATGGATATGACAACCTCTTTAAGCTAGTACAATCATTTACATTTACGTGTAATTCGTTATTTGATGGAAGATCTGGCAGTAGTTGAAGCCTTTTGCACCTCTCCAAGTTAAAACACCAAAGCTGAGAAAGGCATCTAATGCTTGCAGGAAGGCTCTGTAGGAGTTTCAAAACATTTTTCCAAAGTTCATTTGAATATTAAACATGCATTTAATCAAATTAATCGCAGCGGAAGTCTAAGGTGGTTGTTTAAATTCAAAAACAAAACTTCTTCCAAGTATCTTAAGCCATGAACATTGATATGTTTTTCATAAATGAAAATTCAAGAGAAAGGATAAGATCTAATTACCCTTGAAGCAATTATATGAACCAATTTGTGTTTGGTCTTCTCTTGATGATTTCCTCTTTGTTGATCTCCTCTTTGATCTTTGCTCCTTAATCTTTCTCCTCCATGTGAGCCACAAAAGTATATGGCCTCTAAGTCTCCACACCAATGGAACCTTGAGATGAGAAGAAGTATCTTGAGAATACTTGGATGCTAGTGCAAGATTCTCAAGATTGGTTTCAATCTAAACCACTTTGAAAAATGAAAGTATTTCACTCTTGAAAACTCTCCTTTTTCTCTCTTTGATCTCCCAAAACCAACCGTCAAGGTTGACTTTTACAACCCCCCGCTGGGGAGGGAGCCACACTGAGACCGGGGTCAGAGTGGGGGGCGAAGGACGAAAGGGGAGGGGGGAGGGAGAAAGGGCAGTGGCATCCAAATACTCCTTTGCATTTCGGTCAGCCCTTGCCAAGACGCCGAGAGGGTCAGGAGCAAGGCCTTCAAACACAGCTTTACAGCGGGTCTTCCAAATCTCCCAAATAATGAAGCTGATCAACGAGAGCACCCAGTCCCTATCAGATTTACTCCAGCTCTGATATCCAAAAAGCTCATTGAGCCAGCTAGCAATAGTAGTAAACCTCTGAAGATCAACCTTGTAGGTAAGGGATGAGGCAAACCACACCAGTTTGGTCCAGGGACATAAAAAAAATAAGGTGCTCAATGGATTCATCATAAAGCTGACAAAGGGGACAGAGAGGGTCAGGAGCAATTTTTCTTTTGAAGAGGTTAAGCTTAGTTGGTAAAGCATTAACCACTGTCCGCCAAAGGAAGTGTCTGATTTTAGGGAGAGTACGGATTTTCCACAAAGCTTTCCAAACCAAAACGGGGACTGAGACGGAAGAGTGAGAGTTGCCAGAAGAGAGTCCACGGTTCTCAGAATACAGACTGTGATACCCGGATTTCACAGAGTAAAGCCCATCCGAGGTCCACGGCCAAAAAATTTTATCAGAGGAATTGGAGCGCCCAATAGGCATAGCCAGGATGGCTCGGGTAGTCTTCCAATCAATAAAATCACAAATAGCCTCAACACGCCAGGTGCAAGTATCAATGTCCATTAATTCACGGACCAGCTGGGGAGCAGTGGGCACAACAGGAGCAGTGGGACAGATAACACCTATACCAAGTAACCAGTTGTCCCGCCAAATACTAGTCTGTTCCCCAGATAGAACCACTTTGCGAGCTTTACACAGGATGGAGTCTCTACCATCAAGTAAGCTTGACCACACCCAAGAAGGGCGAGAGCCCAATTTCGCATCTAGGAAATCACAATCAGGGAAATAGCGCCCTTTGAGAATTTTGACCCACATAGCGTTGGGGTTCAACAGAATCCTCCAGCTTTGCTTGGCAAGCAGGGCCAAATTGAAAGTGGCAAGATCCCTAAAACCAAGCCCTCCATCCTTCTTTGCCAGACATAGAGCATTCCAAGACTTCCAATGGATCTGAGAATCCTTATCAGGGTTGCCCCACCAAAACCGGGCAATATCCCCATTAATTTCTTTACACAAGGACAGGGGCAGCTTGAAGCACATCATCGGGTAGGATGGGACGGCTGTAGCAACAGCCTTGATCAGGACTTCTTTACCTGCTTGGGACAGGACTCCGTTCTTCCACCCAGCCACTTTCTTCTTGACTCTGTCTCTAATAAAAGCCATAGCACTCTTTTTAGATCTCCCCCAAGCAGAAGGCAGACCAAGA